TAACATAGTTTTAATTGTAAAAAGAATATTTCTTTTTTGTTCTTGAGATACTTCTGGATCAATTAAAGCTTCTTGTAAGAATGGAACGAAGTATTTATCATATTTAATACAAAAATCAACATATCCTTCAACTTCTCTATCCATTGTTCTAATAAATGCTAATAATCCACCAAGAATTTCATATCTAGTTTCAAAGTTTTTAATTAATATAAATGAATATAACGTTGGTTTAATTTTTAATATAAATCTTTTAAATCCTATATTTTCACATCCATCTATAAGTGCACATACCCCTTTAAATACTTCTTCTTCTTCTTCTGAATGAAGTAATGAATATAAAATTTTTGCAAGTTGTATTTCACTCCCTTCTAATCTTTCAATTATTAAATCAGAAAGTTTTATTTGAATAGCTTCTTCAACTGTCATATTAAATGTTATTAATTAATTAAAATTCTTAGTTCGTATCAGTTTTTGTATCGAATGGATTTAAATAAAAAAATTTCAGTTATATATTTCTATAAATACTTTTTCTTTTACTTCTTTTTGTTTATTTTTATTCCACTCTCTTGAAAAATTATTCGTCAATACTCTCTCTCAACAGAATTTCAATTACTTAATTGGCTCTCTTCTTTCAATTTTATGAATTTTCTTAGAAGAAAAATATTAAAAATGACAACAAACCATTCCTCTTTAATTTATTATAAATTCTTTTATTATTTTTATTTTAAAAATTTATGAATATTTAAAAATATTTTACAAGAATTTTCTTTAATCATTTAATTTATTCTTTAACTATTATTAGTACTTTTGTTTTTATTTGAAATAATAAAATTTAATTTTTATTTAGATGAAGTAGAATTATTTTGATTTATTTAAATAGTCTTAAAATAACATTATTCTTTATTTTTACTTCTTTTATGTTTTTAAGACAAAAGTATTATTTAGTATTGCTTTTTCTTATTTAGTTGTATTTATGAAATTTTGAAATAATACTACTCCTCAACCTAATTAATAGATCTTATTTCTCACTAAAAAGATTATTAATAAAATAAAATTATTAATCTTATTAAACTAAAATAATTGAGATTAACTTTGTTTGTATATTTATATTTCTTGAATTATAAGATTATGTAGATGATTAGCAATAACAAAAAATAATTAAAACATTTCTTTGTTATTTCATTTCATTTTAATTAGAAAAACAAACATTCATCAAAAAGAATATTATTTCAAATCTACACAAACTTGAAAAAATAAAATAATTTTTCATAAAAAAAAAAATAAAAAATAAATAGGAAATATAAAAAAAAATTCAACTCAACAAAAGAACAATCAAGAAAGAAGAAATTGTGGTACAAAAGCAACAAGAAAAAAACAAGAATAGATTATGTAATATCATACTTATTAATCAAGAAGAAAAATATAAAAAGGAAAAAAAATTAAAAAATAATGAAGTTAAAGATAAAAAAGAAAAAGAAAGATTATAAAATAACAACAATTCATTTATTTCAAAATTAAATAATAAAATTGATCAATTCAACAAATTATTTTTCGTGGCAATTTTAATAAGAAAATAATCAAAACAAAATATATCAAACTATAATAAAATAAAATAAAAATTAAAATAAATAATATTTTATAAATATTTCTTGATGAGTGTTTTAAAAGTAATAATTTTTTATGATTCTTTCCTTTATATTTTTTTTATGACAAAGAACTTAAAATTAGAAATGATTGTGATTTTATTCATTTATGTTTTGTATGTATTTGGTGGTTCTTTAGATAAAACATGTGCATGTAAATGTGATGGTGATTCTACTACTTCAAATTACCAAATTAATATTATGACAATAGATGCTGAATGTCCTGGTACTGCAACAGGTGAGATATTAGTATCTCAACTAAATGAAGGGTCATTTGATGCCACAATTTCATATAACTTAAAGACAGTTCCTGGAGGTGCAAATGTAACATCAAGTTCTAGTGCGTTTCAAGTGAAAGAAGGAACATATTCATTAACTATTACTTACACATTTGAGACGAGAGATTTTGAGACAGGTACAGCAAGTTATAAATCATGCTCATGTTCATTTGATGGTTTAACAATTACAGCTAAGTATGAAACTATTAGTGACATTACTCATGAAGTTACACCAAACCAACATTGTGCAGGAAGTTATGGCACGATTCAATGTGGTGCTAAGGTTAGTAGTGGAAATGTTAGTTATAGACTATCAGGTACAGAATCAAGAGATTTCAATCAAGATGGTTTATTTTCTAATCTTCCAGTTGGAAGATATAGATGTCTTGTTAGTTCAACACATTGTGTTTCTCAAAGTGAAGAATTTTCTCTTGAATACTCTAAAAAATGTTCTTCAGAAAATATTTGGTTAGATAGACAAATTTATGGAGAAGGTCAAGGTTTGTTTATAGCGGGATTAGTGTTAATAGTTCTTGGTATTGTTCTTAACTTTTGTATTTGTGTTTGTTGCTGTAAATTGATAGTTCATGATAGAAAATCAGAGAAGTTTACCAAAAAACAATTTGAAAATAAAACAAAGAAAAGTAAAAAACAAAAAAAAGAGGAAGATGAATTAAAAGAATTAAAATAAATTTATTCAATGAATAATTTATATGATTTTTGTTTAATAATTATTTTTTTGTTAAATAAATCAAAAATACTTAATAATTAATTAATAGTATTATTAATAAAAAATTTATAACAACTTTAAACTTTAAATTTCTTTAAAAAAAAAAATAATTTAAGAAGGATTTTATTTTATGGCAGAAAAAGAACCTGAAGAATCAGATTATTTATCAAGTGAAACAGATGAAAGTGAAGAGAGTTCAACGGATAGTTATTCAAATGAAGAATTTGAAGAAGGAAAAGAAAATGCCGAAATAATTGAATCTGAAGATTTTAGAGAAGAAGAATATTCAATGGATGAGTTAGTTTATATGTATAGAAGTGCTTATCATTATTCGTTAGATAATTTTTATAATACTCTTCAAGAAATTAAAGAAAGTTATAATGCCATTATAAAAGAAAATAATACTTTAAAGGAAGACAAACAAAAACTTATACAGATTTATTCTTCTTCTAAAGAACTTATTGAAGAATTAAAGAAAAGAGATGATTGTCTTACAAAACAATATGATGAAATACTTGACAAATATGAAGAAGAACAACGTAGTCATACAAAAACTATTGAAGAATTACAAGAATTAAAGAAAAGTGAATTATTTGGAAGTACTAGTGCTAATGTTATTGCATCATTAAATATTAAAATTGAACATGGAAAAGTAGAAAATATTGAAGTTGTTCAATCAATGAATTCTATGGAAAATGACTCGTTAATGAAAATTTCATTATTAGAGAAAACAATTGAAGAGAAAATGAGAAAAGAAAAAATACTTTTAGAAGAGAAAGAACGAATTACCAAAGAAAGAGAATTAGAAGTCCAACGAATTAATAATGAAAAGAATCAAATGATTCATGAGAAAGAAGAGTTAATTGAAAAACAAAGAATAAAAGAAAAAGAAATGCAAGACCAAATTCAATTGATGGAAACACAATTAAAAGCTAAAGATGAATTAATAATGAAAAAAGAAAAACTTATTGAAGAAAGTTTATTAGTTCAAGAAAATAAAACAAGACATTCTACTGCACAATCAGAAGTAATTAATGAATCAACAACACCAAAAGATGAATATAATAAAACTTCAAGAAGTGTTGGTGTTACTCCATCTTTTAAGTTAGAAAGTAAAAAACGTTTAATGGAAATATCTAAACAACGTACTAAAAAATCATTAAGTGAAATTGTTAAAGCTGTTAAAGACTTTAAAAATAAAGGAATTGGTTTATCCTTTAATGAACCTACAGAAATGGAAAAATATTCTATTAGTGAATTTAAACTCTCAAAAACTCCAACACCTAAGAAATATTTATATGCAAATAAAACACCATTTTATATGTCTTTTACACCAATTGAAGGTATTGAGGCATCTCCAAAAGAATTGTTTCTTATAAAATCAAAAAGAAATAAATCAACAGAATTAGTTAGTTTTAATAAGAAAACAAGAACAGAAAGAGTTATTGCTGATAATGTATTACCTAATGAAAGTATTAATAATGATAACTTTTTGATTTATCATTCTAATGGAAGAATAATATGGTATTCTTATCGTAAAAGAACATCAACACGTATTAAGTTTGAACAATTTAAATGTTTCATTCCAAGTATTCATGATATTTATATATTGAATAAAATCAATGAATTATATATATTTGCTGATGAAAAGATTACTTTTGTGAAAAAAATAAATCATGAATTTGGAATTAATCCATATATTGTAGGAACATTATTGTTTTCACTTAAAAATAAAAAGATAAATAGTTATGAAATTATGACAGAGAAAGAAAATAATGATTCAGCACTAAATGATATTTCAGCATTTACTATTTGTAATAATAATATTTGGCTTGCTATGCCTATGTTTAATCAAATTGGAATTGTTTCTTTTAATTATCAAAGAATAAAAACTATTCCAATGAATTTTACACCATCAATAATGAAAGTTTATGGAAATTATGTTTTTATAGCAGGAAGAACACATTATAGTATTATTTCATCAATAGGAAATATTGTGTATAATGCAGAAATAAAAGTATCTATGATAGATTCTATTTGTTTAGCAGAATCTCAACATAAAAGAGATTGTAGAATGATAATATTAAGTAATAAAGAATTATACGACTTTGGTACAAAGTTACAACGTCATAATATTATTAAATCAGAAGTAGTTGGAACGTGTTGTATTTGTGGACAAAATTGTATGGATTTAGAATGTAGTGTTTGTCATAAAAAATACCATGACAAATGTTTTACAAAAACAATGCATGAAATTGAACCTTGTTGTGAGATGAAGTAAAACAATAAATGAATTAATTGAATCATACTAATTCTTGAAATAACAGAAAATTATTATCTAAAACTTAGTTAATTTTCTTCTTTTTTTATTATTCCAGAAAATAATTCTATTGAGTGTCTTTTAATTCTACGTCTAAATGTTTCTTTCTTTTTTGATTCATTTTCTTGTAACAATTCTGGCGTTGGTTTTGGTGGTTGTTCAGATGGACTAATATTAATTTTAGGTAATGGTGATTTTGATCGATGAACAAGTATGAATTGATTATCATTATTTCCAATAGATTCAGTTTTTCCTTCACTTAGTCTTTTCTCTAATAATGCAGGACTTATAGATCTCATTCCATAAGCTATTTGAATATAATGACCAGATAATCTTTTAGAATTTCTTTTAGTTTTTGAAATCAATTTATTTTTAGAATAGAATGTGCCATAATCTATATGTGGTTCATAACTAAAAGCAGGTTCTTTTGGAAATTCCATTCCAAGAGCTTCATTTCTTTCTTTAATGTCTTCAAATAAAGAATCAAAATTTGTCAATACAAATTCAAAAGAAGAAATACAATCTATAGTAAAACTAATCTCATCTTTGGAATTAATTTCAGGTAATCTACAAACACAAAGAGCAAAACAAATTGACATATTTTGAAAAGTCATCATATTTTCTTGTTGATTAGAGCAAATTTCTTGTAAAAATTGAAGAAGAATAAAGAGTGTCTTGATTTGGAATAGGTAATGAATTAATAAATTGTTTAGGATTTGAATTTTGTTTCAATTGACTAAATTCTATTGCTTTATTAAAAGGAATAACTGGTTCTATCATTAATTTTAAACAACTTTTTAGTAATGTTCCAATAACAATACAATCATCACTGAAATTACTTCCAATATCTTTATCTAAATCTATTATTTCTTTTAATGGTTTAAGTTCACCAATACTACATGTTAATCTAAATAATCCTTGAGTATGAATTGCATCATGTTTACGAAGACATTGAATAGAACGATAAACAAAATTTGGAACTCTCCAACCACTTTTTTTAACACTAAGAACTAATGGTAAACCTATAATACCATATATTCCTGGTATATGGTTCTATTTTTTCTATCCAATTTTTTGTTTCTTGTGGATTATGACAAACAAATATATAAAGTTTATCAAAATGTATTTTAAATGAATTTTCTCTTTGTTCTACACTTAAACAATTATGTTCTATTCCCATTTCAAGAATAGAATTTGAAAGAATAATTCTAATACAACTCCCAATATATAATACCATTCCATCTGTTTCTTCTTCTTTCATTTTAATACTTTTTTCTTTAATTTCTTTTCCACACCAAATACCAATAACACTTTCTTCCATGAATCATCTTCATCATTTTAAGTTCTATATTTTATTGCTGATAAGAAACTTTGTATTTACTATTAGAACCACTCATCTTCTTTCAATTTTTGTTTTCTTTTCCTTTCCACAAAAACAACAAAATGTTAACAATGTTTCTTTAAAAAGAATAGACTGAAACAATAACCAAAAATATTATCTATTGAACATTTGTTTTATTTAAATAAATAATAGAGTATTACCACAACCGCCTTTTTTTCATGATGTTTTAATCCATTCAATTAACAACAACTAACTACTTCTGTTTGAATAACCACTGAAATTTATTTAACTCATTGCTAATAATAAACAAAATTATTAATACTCATAAAATCAAATTAACCTTTTTTATTTATCCTCATTCTCTTACTTCTTTTTTATTGAGTTTGTTTCCTTAAAGTCTAAATATTCTGTTGTTATTCTATTAACTTGATAGAAGAATGAAGTAGTTTATTAGAAATAAGGAAGAATTAGTTAGTATTTGCTAAATTATTGTTTTTTCTTTTTAATTAATTCTCTTTTCATTACTTTTCAATTATTTTTCTTTAGAATGAAAACAAATTTAAGAAGAAAGAAAAGTTAATTTATCAGTTTGTTTATTAATAATACTGATTCGATGGAGGTGGGACACTAGCCGATGTAGGATTAATATCAACTCCTAATAATGGAGCTTGCTCAGCTGGTTGTTGATTAAATACTGACATATTAATTGTTTGTGGATTTATTATTGGAGCTTCATATGTTGGTTGTTGGTTATAATAAACAGGAGCTGGTGGATCACGAGTTGGCATTGGGTGAATTGATTCATCCCAATTATCAATGATATAAACTTCAGATTCTGCTTGCCTCTTTATATAACTGTAATTTAATCGAATAAGATAACAAAGAAGTACAACTAAGGCAATAACTCCTACTATAGCACCTATACAAACAATAATACCAATGATTACTAATATAATAATTCCTATTGCTCCTAAACCTGATCCATTACTTCCTCCTTTACAATCTCCATCACATCCAGAACAATCACAATTATTACAATTACCACAATTACCACAGCTATTACAACCTTCACACTTTAAACATGCATCACATGCATCACATGTTTCTGCACAACCTCTACATCCTTCAGCACAAAGATAAATACTTAATGCACAACAATTATTATTATATACTGAATGATGATAAGGAGAAACATAACAACAATCAGTACACCAGTCACAACACATACAAGCTGCTAATCCACATCCCAAACAATCATGACAATTAGGACAGGTATTTGGAAACATAAAACATCCATAACAACATCCATACCTTGATAATATAGATCTCTTATAAATAAATGGCATACAACATAATGAAAGACTACAACAAGCTCCTAAACGTTGAGCATCAGTATGAGACAATTCTTCATCAACAGTATCTTTATGTTCTCCACATAGACATCTTGAAACCATTCCACAAATACTCCAGAGACCTAAAACAAAACAGTCTAACCCGAGTCCCAAAACCATATCTCTAACAAAGAAATAAGGGTCAGAGAAAAAATGGCAAGTACTATCATTTTCTGATAAGAAGTAATGAGTAGAATAATTATCAATTGTATAAGGAATTAATCCAGAAACAAATACAAATAAGCAAATTGCACTGAATAAGAATAATATTTGAAAAACTAATTTAAAAATAAACTTTGTAATCAAACAAGCAACAGAATGTTCAACAACATGCTTAAATGTATAATCTACTCCACATTGTAAACATTTGCCAAAAGCAACAGGATCATTACAAAAAATTCTATAAGCATTAATACATGATCTATGTACCCACTTGTTTGGTCCATCACATCCACATGGAGAAATAAGTTCTTCATCACTATTAGGATCTAAACAAATACGACATATTTTAGGATATTCTTGGTTATCTACTTCGTTATTCATTATTTGATAATCTTATAATTTTTTTCATCTTTAATTTTCAATTTTATCTTTTTTGTCTTTGAATGAAGAATAGGCAAAACAAGAAATTTGGTAATTGAATAAATAATATTTTATTTATTCTTTCTTTATTTATTATTCTTTTTTAATAATTATAAAAATAGAAATAAAGCTATATTTATCAATGAAAAATACTTATGTCGCTTTCAAAAAATTAATTAAACTTTCTTTAAAAATATCATTTTCTTTTAAATATGTATTTATAAAAATATACCCAATTCCTTTTTTATTCATTTTTCTTTTCATTTTTATGATTTTTCGTTTTTTTTTTTTTCTTAACATTTCATATTATTCACTTATCAGATTCGAAGATGGCACGTCAGAGACACCACATGAAACCCTAAAATAATCCCATGCTTCGAATCTCCCAGTTATCGTCTGGTCATGACGTGCCTTTGGTGAGATAATATCTATTCAACACTAACTGTTTATTATTATTAATATTTATTAGAAGTGATTATTATAAAAGATTATTATTCATTGAGGTGTATTGTTATTCATTAACGTGTATTGTTCTTCATTGAGATGTATTGTTATTCATTGAGGTGTATTGTTATTCATTATTAATTATAAGGATTGTTATTTACTAAGGAGGTATTATGTATTAAGAATTATCATTTATTAAAGAAGACGCATATATAATTGTTACTGTTGCACAAAAATTAAACATAATGATATTATCAAGGAATAGGGTTTCTTTAAGGGGTGTCGAAGGTAAAAGGAGATGAGCTATAACAGTATGTTATGGATATACTCTCCTTAAAACAACAATATAAAGAATGAGAAATATTATATTACTCATTAAAATCAAAATAAAAGTCAGGCAGCAACTTAAATGAGGAACCATTTAAGTCGAGCATGCTTGCAAAAACTTTATTTCAATAGAAATAAAGCGTGTTGAAGAAACTGATTCGCTCACTTCTCAACATGATGAAAAACCTAAAAAATAAGGTTAATCATAATTGATTTCTTTTTTTTTTTTTTTTTATTCACTTATCTTTATTTTTCTCAATTACAAAAAGTCAAATACGGATTTTCTTTTAATTTGTTTATTTCGTGATATTTTCTATTAATCTAAAACATAATCTCGTTTTTTTTTTATAAAAATAAATTATGATACAATCTTTTAACTAATAACTAACAACAAAACTAATTAGAGTAAATAAAAAACAATCTTCTTTCTATTATTTAACCTCTGATTTAAATGCATCTTTTGATGTATTGGTTCTAAGTTATATACTGTCTCATTCAATTTAGGTAATTGCCATATATTTCATTATAAGTTATAATATAACACAACAAAAAATAAAGAGTGAGAAAATAGAGGAAAAAAGTGAAGTAATAGAAGGGTAACACAACAAATAAAAATAAGTGTAAATATCAACAAAAATAATAGACACGTCCATAATAAGAAGAAAAATAGGATTAAAGAAAAAGAAAGAATGTAATCAATCACCAACAAATAATTGTAATAAGATGAATTTAAATTCAAAATAGTGTTTGAAGAAATTAAAAACAAATAAAAGAAACTATTAAGTAAAGTAAAGTTATAATAAAAAAGGAAGGAAAATTTATAAAGAAAATAAAAACATCAAAACATGAAAAAGAAAGTAAAATTAATAATTAAAAATAATTAAAATGAAAAAGTACTAAACTAAGTTTTAGTAGATATTGATTTTTCTACTTTATTTTGTTTGTTTAATGTTATTTCATTCACTCTCTTTTAAGTATTGTTCATTATGTATTTCTATATCTCTATATTCTCCTCTATTATTTCCATATTTTTTTCATAAGTTTTTCATAAGTTTTTCATTGTTTTAATTTATTTTAACTTTTATCATTATTTAACATTTTAATTATATTGTTTTATTCTTTAATTATTTTCCTGTTTCTTTATTGAATATTCCATTTATTGTTATTTCTTTTTGAATTACTTCTATTTTATTCTATCAATTTGTTTTATTTTTTTTTTTAGTGAATTTTATCCATTTCTACTGTATTAATAAATATTAATTTTATCTTTTGATCATTTATAATTACTATTTGTTATATCATTTATTCTTCTTTTGTTTTTATCATGTTCATTTGTATTGTTGTTTATTTTCATCTTATTCTCTCTTATTTTATTCTTCATTTATTCATTATATTTATTTGTTCTTTCTTATTTACATTATAATTTATTATTATATTTACATTTGTTGTTATTTTATATTTACAAATATCACATCATTTCATTTACAATTTGATGTTATTATTAACTTGTTAAATTTTAGACAAATATATTATGTTCTTTCATTAATTTAATTATTTATATTCATTTATTTTTATATTATTCTTCATTATTTTATTTGTTAATTTCTTATCATTTCATAATTATAATATCAATATTATTTCACCATAACTTCTTTGTTTATTCTTATAATAATAATGATTAAACATTCTATCTGCATTATGATATTTGTAGTTATACTAATTACTTTTATTTTTATTATAATTATGTTTAAATGAGAATTAATGTTATGACATTTATAATTATGATAATTAGTAATAATATGGTTATTGTTATTATTTTATGATAATGAATATAATGATTATATTAATGATAATGTCATCTAAATCTTTTTGTTGGTGTGAATTATTTCTTTGTGATTTTCATGACATTCATGTGACGAAGGAAATAATTTAAAAGAAGAAAAGAAAATATAAAGTAAAAAATAATTTTTTGGATAAATAACAAAGAAATATAATCATCAATCAATTATTTCTTACTCAATTTTTTTTCTTTCTTTGACTCTCTCAAAGCTTTAGGTAATTTAATTTTCTTATTTAATTGTTCTAAATCCTCACCAATAGCATGTACTCTTCCAATAGTTTGTCCAAACATATCTTTTGAAACATTCTTCTTTTTCTTTGGTGCAACAAGTTCTTGTGGAACTTTCATTGCTTCTTCTCTCATATCTTCAGCTCCAAATTTGTTTCTACCAGGTACCATGACAATACGAGGTCCAACTTCATGGCTTTCAATAGAAGTTGATGTAGCTTTAATATAATAAACAGTCATATAAATTTTTCCTTCCACAACAGTAAAAACCATCATTGCAGTTAATTCATCGACAACTAACTTCTCATTAACATCATTGTATAAAAATCAATTATCATATTCTTAAACATTTTAAATTCTTCATTTGTTTCAAATTCTGATCCATTAAAACTATACATTAATCGTGTAGCTGAAGGAGGTTTAACTCCTTCAAATTCATGAATTGGTTTATATTCTTTAACTAACATTTCCTCCATATCTAATACATGTCCATCAAACATACGAACAAATGTAAGACAATTAGGTCTTTTCTTATTATGTGACATAATAACAAGAAGTGATGCATCTCTTCCAGTACTATAAACTTCTAATGGTCTTTCATCTTCAAATGGAAGAATTTCATGTTTATGATTAAACTTGATAACATGTGGTTTTTTATATAACGCAAGGTCTTCACACACATCTGTTAAAATTTTACTTGTATTCCTTCCTTTTATAAAAATAGCAGTTTTTGTATTTTCAATGACTTTTGGCTCTTTCCTTTCAAGTCGTTTCCATCCTTTCTTACGATGAAATGACTTCTTTGGTTCACTTGTTGTGCTCATTCAATTATTCTTATTTTGTTCTATAAAAAAAAAGGGTTTTTAATAACAATTTTTATTTTTTATTTGTGCTTTTCTTTTTAGAAAATTATCTTTTTTCTTAAAAAACAAAATAAAAAAAACAAATTCTATAAATTATAGTAAAAATGATATTGAAATAAAAAAAAAAGAAAAAGAAAAACTAAAACGAAATAACTCAAAAAGATTACAACAATGAGTTCAATTGGATCAGGATATGATGATTCATGTACAACCTTTTCACCTGACGGAAAGGTATTTCAAATTGACTATGCGACAAAAGCAGTTGAAAATAGTGCAACAGCACTTTCAATTAAATGTATTGATGGAGTAGTATTTGGAGTAGAGAAGTTAATAATATCAAAAATGATTGAAAAATCATCAAATAAACGTATATTTAATGTTGGTACTCATGTCGGAATCACTTGTGCTGGATTTCTTCCTGATGCAAGAAAATTATTTAAGAAAGCAAATGAAGAAGCTGAATCATTCAAAGAAAATTATGGAATGAATATTCCAGTAAAAGTATTAGCAGAAAAGATTGCTATGTACATGCAAAATCATACATTATATGGATCATTAAGACCATTTGGATGTAGTTTATTGATAGGAGGAGTTGATCAACATGGATATTCCCTTCATTATATTGAACCATCAGGAACAACATATGGGTATTTTGCTAATGGAATTGGTAAAGGAAAACAAATATGTAAAAACGAATTAGAAAAAATAAACTTCTCACAAATCACATGTGAAGAGGCATTAGTGAAACTTGTAGAAATTATTGATTTATGTCATGGTGAATGGAAAGATAAACCATATGAGATTGAGTTAAGTTGGATTTCAGAAAAGACTAATAACATAGTTAAGAAAGTTGATAAAGAAATGAAACAAAAAATTATTGACCAAGTTCGTAATAAACAAATGCATGAGAACTAATTAATGCTTTTATTAATTTGTGTTATATATCTCAAAATTTGAAATTATATGAAACAATGAATCGCAAAAACAGACATCGTTCATCTAAAAATATCAAATTTCAAATCAAAAATAACAGAAACTAATAAAAAAGAAGTAAAATAAGAATTTTACCATAAAGGAATGAAAAATAAAAACAAACCAAGGAAAGTTGTTTTGATAAATGAAAAAAGAAGAATAGTAAAAGAAATAATAAAGAATAAAAAAAATAAAAAATAGAAAAAAGATTCAGTTTTGAATAAAAGTTCAATAATAAAAAAAGAAGATGAAAAACCCCAAAAAAGGAAAGAAAGAAAAGAAAGACAAAAATTCTTTCTCATAGTTTAGGATAATATTAAATTAAAATTAAAAAGAAACTAATAAGAAGTAATTACCATCTAAGCAGGTAACGAAAAATAAACCATCTTAAAAAAACAATAAAAATTTACGATGGATAATGAAACACATAGATTTCAAGAACTCATTCCTCTTATCCATACGTTTGATGGAAAAAGTATACCTCCAAAACCTAACAAAATAGTTCGTCCATGGAAAAGAGAAGAAGATGAACTATTACTTCAAGCTGTTGAAGAAATTGGAACTAAACGATGGCATTTAGTTGCACAACGTATTCCAAATAGAACAAGAAAACAATGTAGAGAAAGGTATTGCAATCATCTTGACCCTGATATTATTAAAGTTCCATGGAGTGAAAAAGAAGACCAAATATTAAAAGAGGCAAAAGCATTATATGGTAATAGATGGACTTTAATTAAAATGAAATTACCAGGAAGAACAGCAAATCAAGTAAAAAACAGATATTTTGCTAAATTTTCTGATGTTGATGAAAAAGAAAAAAGAGAATCAAAAATAATGTCAGTATTTACTCCAGTTGATAAACGTTTATTCAATATTTGTATTAGTAATAAATATTACTGATTGAAATATCAATTCATATATGATTAATTCATTGTGTTTTTAGTGTATCTTTTAAGCTCTATTTAAATCTTAAAGTTATTATTTATTATTTTAATTAATCTTTCATTTGTTTATTATGTCTTTTTTAACTTTCTTTTTTTTTAAATAATATCAATCAATTATTCATGTATCTTCTTTTTTATGTCTCTCCTACTTTTAATTACTTCTTCGCTAATTTTCGTTTATTTATTTGTTGTTTTTTAATTTTTGGTTTTTTAATTGTTTTTTCTTTTTGTTTATTCTCTTCTTCTTTATTACTTTCTTCTTGTTGTTTTTCATTCTCCTTATCTACTTTTTCTTCTTCTTCCATCTGTTGTTCTTCTTTTTCATTACCTTCGTCTTCTTTTTGTTGTTCATTTTCTTCTTCACTAACTTCTGGAATTTCAGGAACATTACACTCATTCATAATCTGTTTTTCTAACTCTTCATCTGATGAAATATCATCAATTCCAAGTGCTTTTAGCTCTTCTTCAAGTCCATCTAATTCTCTATCAACATTAGTCTTACCATTAAATTGATCAATATCACCAATTTCTTCTTCAACTTGAATTCTTGTTTCAACAGCAAGGTATTGTTGAAGTAACTTTTGTAATTTTGATTTTGTATATTGAAGATAATTTAACTTACCATCACGAAACATTGCAGTTACATTATTCCCATGTTTTTGATATAAAGCTCTCATATACCATATCATTTCTAAGCTAATACTCTTTGGATTAGTCTCTTCTCTTTTGTCAATTGTTGATGCTGTTTTAGCTATTCTCACTGGTTTATTCTCCATATCTTGAACGAATGACTTTCTTTTCTTTTAGGGTTTTTATTTTTTTTACAAATAAAAAATCTTAAAAATAAATAAAATGATGAGCAAAATGAAAAGGGAATTAATAAAGAAAGAGAAAAGATAAAGATAATTAAAAAGTAGTTAATTAAGTGTTAATAGATTTTTCATATATTCTTCCTAGTTTAATGGAGATTAATCCCTGAGCTGTTTAAAAAAGAATAATCTTTTTGTTTAACTTATCATTTATGTTTTTCTTGCAAATTGAGAAAATCACTTCTTTGCTTTATTTCTTCTTATTAAGGTTTTGTAAACTTCTTCTGCTTATTTCTTCTTTTTAACCTTTTGTTTATTTTCTGTCTTAATTTTAAACATTTTCTTTTTCATTTTTTCTTTATTTTATGAATGAGAGAAGAGAGTATTTCATTCCCACTATATTATTATGTTTAATTTTCTTTTAGTCTTATTCACACTTTAGTATATCCTTATATTACACCATGTAATATTCTATCATAATATCTTGCTACACCCTTTGCAACTTTACCTAATACATTTCTAATTCAAATACACTGTCATAACCAGAAAATAACTGGGAGAGTCAGTGCTTGAATTGTATTAGTGTTTGTGTGGTGTTTCAGATGAGTCACCTTCAATCTATAAATAAAATAAATATGAAAGAATGATTCTTTGTTGTATTTTCAAAATAATTGATAATTAATATTAATAAATTAATGAAATGAATAATAATGAGAATAATTCAATTTAAATAAAATGAAATAAAAAGAATGATAAATAATCAATGTTTCAATGAATAAAATATTATTTAACTTTCATATTTCATATATTAAGTATTTCATTTATTATGCATTCTATTTAAATTATTATTTATTTAAAACATAACCTATCATATTTTATATTAATTTATTTACTATTTTTAATTACTTCATCAAACATATTGTAAAAATAAAATAATTGTCTTTCGATGATGTTTTATCACTACACATACTTATTATCTCTTCAATTATTTCTTCTTTATGATGAATAGTACTGACATTTTATTTTCTAGTTCTTCATGTTCAATAAATTCAATATCTTCTTTTACAGACACAAATATTTTGGTAATTTTGTTTTCTATTTCTTTCTTTTTATTTCTTTCATACTCTTCTTCTTGTTGATTTTTAGAAAGAATAATTTATTTAATTTCACTTCTTTCAATTTCCAAATCACAATAGTTAATTTATTCTATGTATTTCATTCTTTTATTTCTTTGCAATTTCGTTATTTTTATTTTTATTTATTTGGTTATTCCTTTTCTTGTTTAATGTTTTATTCTTTTTTTTTTATCTTTTTCTTCAGTAATACTCTGATAATCAATATCTCTTTTTAACTTCTTCTACATTAATTAATGTTAATAATATTAACATTGTCAACATCATTACAATTCCATTTTATCTTTGTGTATTATAATAACAATATAAACCTTTTGACTCATTAAATTACATTGGAAATTGATTATTTTCCAGTTATTCCATTAAAAACTTCCAATAATTGTTGTTGATATCTATTTTGTTTACTTCTTTTATTCATAAAATTCTTTATGGATATAGGATAACAACATTTAATCAACACGATACAAACATATCTCTAAATGTCTAATATTGGAAAATATTCTGTATTATTTTATCCATTGTTTTATTATCTTATGAAAACCTTGGTTGAAATTTAAAATAATATTAATTATTTGAAATTCTTTTTATATTTTTAAAATATTCATCTATTTGTTCATATACATTCTTTTGTGTCTTGTAACACAGATATAATAATAAATATATCTCATTTATCACTTTCTCATTATATTCATTTTGTTTATTTAGTTTCTGATTTTGCGGTATTATTTTCTTTAAAAACATTCTTCTTCATTTTGAATTTACAAAATGTACTTTTCATTACTTGTATTTCAAATGATAAATAATTTAATTTATTTAATATTTATTGATTGTTGTTAGTTGATAGTCGTTTTAAAT